GACAAACATGCGCGCGCTATTTTGGGACTTTGGGACTAACAAAAACCGCAGGAAGATCCAGAATCGCGCAGGGCGAGTGATGGAGATGTAGTCCCGCGGAGACGCAAGTCATTACCAGATATGCCCAAGGCCTCGAGAACCCTCGAGTCTCCCAACGGCCACCCAAATCTTCACCCAGATCATCCTCGCTCGCGCAGACGACCTAGAAGGCCTGATCCCGCAAGAGCCAAAGGAAAGGGTCGCGCGCATCCCAACGGCATCATCCTCGAGCAGGGTCCACTAACAGAATGGCCGCCCTCCGGTATGTCAAGTCAAGAGGAGCTCACCCTTGGCCATGCCATGGAACTCGTCTCCCGCGGCGCCCCGGCCCACAAGGGCCACAAGCGTCCTGTACCCCATGCATCCGATCATTACTACGCCCTCTACACCACGTCCGCCGGTAATGATGCCGAAGAAACGGACGTTGTCAATCTGCACGACCACATGACCCAACTGATGACCCTCCGTATGCAAGGTGGCGGTTCGGCGATATATCCATGGGAGTCCTTGGAACAGCCGAGCTTCGCCTTCTTTTACGGTCAACAACCCGGCACAATCACCCTGAACCAATGGGCTTGTCTGGCCAGTATCAAACCTCCAACAATCGGCTTGAGAGACTCGGGCGCGACGGCACGAGAGGTCGGATTGGATCGCATCTTTGAGCGTCTGAAGGAGCTGGAGGCGGGGCTGGAGGACGATGACGAAGAATGGATGTACAAAAGCTTATATCGCCGCTTCCTCCGCGACCCCGACAAGATGATGAGCCCGCACAAAGGACTCGACAAGCAGATTACGGATCTGATCATGGTCTTGTCACGTCCGGACTGGATCGACTTTACGAACCCCAAGAACCAAGTCGTTACTCGCTTCATTTTCGATCCGAGCCACGGAAGCCAACAGCAGTATATCAAGTTTTGCCACCAACTCGTTCTCAGCATGGAATTAGATCTACGGATTAATTCGAGATTGCATGGGGAATGGGCCAAGGAGAAGCTACTGCCCCAACTACCACCCACCATTCAGTGGGATCTTGCGCTTGCCAGACGCTGGCGGGAACATGTAAGAGTTGAGGGATATGGGAAGTCGGTGGAAGATAGTAAGCTGCCTACATATTCCCATTTTCCTTGACCAGATCTAACTTGCGACAGTCAACTTACGCTTCAGGCTAAAGAAGCGCCAGATCAAGATGCTACGGCGCTTTGCTCAGATGATGAAGTGGCCAAACCTTGGACAGACTCTGGACAAAATGAAGCAGAGGGATATGGACGCAACTCTGGACATTATCAGCTCCGACGCATTGGCATTCTTCAGCGGTCTTGTACTGCCGGGCGTAAGTTCTGCTCACTAGTGTGTAATATTCCTCGTACACTTGCTAACAAACAAAGACAACGTTTCCGTTCCTCATCATGAACACCCTCATCGACATTGACCCCGACAAGGCAACCGACTCTTTAGCCATGATGACGCACCTACATCCTCACTGTGGGTTTCAATATAGGAATAGTTATACCTACTGGACTGCTGCTTCGATTGTCGGAAAAGTCCTCGCCCCGACTTGTCGATCGTTGGCAGGTTGGGTCGGGCCAGCCCGTCCGACCGCTGATCTTGGCCGATCGCAAATCGCCCGTGTGCGCTCTCGGCGTCCACGGCAGCGTATGACCCCCGAAGACGTACAGTCGATGAGCGAACGATCTGACCCTCTGGGTCCCCCGGCCGAGGTATTCCCGGTCAAGGAATACAAGCTCGTGGCTCCCGACGCAGACGACATTGTTGATACTGTCCGTATCGAGCTGCTCAGCTTCAAGGCTGTCCCGGACCGTTTCCAGGAACCTCCGCCAGCGCCAAAGGTGTTTGATGCAACGGTACAATTTGCAGTGGATGGGGTGTCCTGGCCTATGCGCCTCACATACGATGTGTCCTTCATATCAGCCTGGCCGTGTTCGGGTGGTCCTCATCCACTGTTCTTTGACTACGTCTTCCAGACCGTTAAGGCGGATGAGATCATGAACATAAAAGACTGGGGTGGGCTGTATGGTCAGTCTCCGAGTGCTCGTAGTTCGAGGACAAGCTCGACAGCAGGCCCACACACGGCAAGCAGCCAGGACCAAGTCGACGAGGAGCAGGTGTTGGTAGTGGAGGCCTTTGGAGTGAGGGACAACGAGGTCTTGGCACGGGCCTGGTGTTCACACTGGGGACTGAGTGCTGTGATTGCCGATATTCGCAAGACATGGTGAGTTTTCCGGGGAACTTTGTGTTGATGAAAACTCTGCTAACTTTGCTCAGTATGGCTTGTGCTATTCGCGAGGCATACGCAGCAACTTTGACGGTGGTGGTTTTGGTGGACGACCAAGAATACAATACGGACGACTAATGACATGGCATGGGGTAGAGAGGATTCTTTCCATAATGATGAGGTTGACAGGATACGATACGAGGATGAGACCGCAGACGACTACGACAACACGATAGCCGGATTACGGCTCGTGCTTTTTCTTTATTGGGACTTAAGATACCACAGCGAGTCTTGTTTCTGTCAGGACGATTTCCTGGATCAGAGTTGAGGTTGGCCAGGGCTTAGGAGAGAATGAGACGGTGTTTTCTGCATGAGAGCTATTTCGAGGCTCTAGCGAGAGAGGGTTGGCAGAAGGACTGAGAAAATACCCAGGACAGACTGCATTCTTGGGCGTTTCATGAATAGTTTTGCGGAGACCCACGACGTTTCTCCGCTCGAATAGACAAACTTACTGCTGGGTACTTTTCACTATGCCATACTTCATCATCGGTGTCTACCCTTTTCAGCGTGCCTCAGGATTCACCAAGCACAGCTTTCAACGCCGCCAAACTCCCCCTCCACACCTCAGCACCATCACCGTCAGCCCAAGCCATCACCTTCTCCACGCCCTCAAGATCCTCCCTCATCCTCACCTCATTCGTAGTCCCATCCAACACACTAACCCCCTCCAACCCCAACACCAAACCATAAAACGCAACCTCCTCGCTTACGCCCGCCCCCTTTGCAACCTGCTTCACAAAAGAACTCCTCACGAGCCTCGGGTTCGCCGTCAACGTCCAAAACGACTGGAAATTGATCCCCCTCTCGCGGCAGAAGACGCGGACGGGGGTGTTGTACCCCTCATCCGGATTCAGGCGGTTCTGCACGACGACGGGCTTGACGACGGCTTCCTCGTGGCAGAGGCGCTGGAGGTCTGGCAGGTCGACGTTGGAGATGCCGAGGGTACGGATGCGGGAGGGGACGTAGGTTTCTAGGGCGCGCCAGGCGAGGAGGGTGTCTGTGTAAGAGGGGTAGGGGGCATGGAGGAGGACGCAGTCTAGGTAGAAGCCATCGTCACCTTCGTTCTTCTGCCCTTCTGGAGAGTCCGTAAGTGACGGCGCAAAGAGGTTGTTATCGACGGCGAGGTTCTTGAGGGAAGAGGCGATGGACTTGTGGACTTGGTCTGGGATGGGTAGGTCTGATGGCGCGGGGGAGAATTTGGTCTGGATGTAGAGACCCGCGCGTGTGATGCCGTGAGCGGCCGGCGTCAGAGCTTGAGACAAGAAAGTGCGGAGGCCGACGCCGACGCCTTCTTCCGAGTAGTGGTGGGATGCGGCGGTGTCGAGGGCGCGGAAGCCTGCGGCGAGAGCGGAGGCGACGAGGGGCGCGGTTTGGGATTTCTTCCAGGCTGTGCCGTAGATTAGGCGGGGGATAGGGGCGATTGTTTGTGGCATTTTTTGGTGGGATGTTTGATTATTTAATGTTGTCGTTGGTGGTGTAGGTAGGATGTATACGTGGGGGTCAGGTGTCACGATGAGATAATAGGGAGTGTGATGAGTTCACCTTTATTGGGGATGGTGAAGTGTTAAAGGTGAGGTTGTTGGCGACGAGGGGTTGTCGCAGAATGTGTGCTTTGGTAGGTGAGGTTGGTCAGGTACCTTCGTCATCAACCAGGAAGCGCCCAGAGCGGCATGTATCGTACGTAAGACACAAACATCAATTGACCTTCAGTGTATTGGTCTCCGTCAATAAAACTCGGCACCTGAATAATCCAGATCAAGAACAAAAGGGCAATTTTTCTTTAAAAAGTTGAAGAAGGCGCTTGTGGGATTCGAACCCACAAACTACAGCCCGGTAAATTTGACCTCAGGATTGGTTTACAAATAGCTTTGTCTTCTGGGCAAGTTCTCCTTTATTGCTGTTGAGAATTTCCGAGTTGAATTGGCCTATAGATCATAGGAGGGGAGAACCTGAGGCTTGCGGATCTGAATACTTCTGTATATTCCGAATGGCTTCACATCAGCACCTCAGTATACGTTATACCACCCTTGGCAGGGTACTTAAGTACCTTATCGTCTATGACGTCTTATCGCTGGTATCCAAAAGAGGGCTTCGCCGCGGGGTAACAACACGAACCCCGCCATCCTGTCGCCTGCCAGAGTCACCACTCACCACACGAAGAGTTTCCCCCAGCGCAATCAATCTCCAAATTGGCCCAAAGAGGAAACTCTAGCAGTCGAAAAGTTGGTGGGGCCGTGAGGTCGAATCGGCTCACCTCAGGGACGAAGTTTGCGTTACGATAGTGGTCTTGACTGACCCCGGATAGCTCTTTGCGAGTCCATGTGTCATCGCGGAGTATCGGCGAAAAAGGACGCATTGTCACACCAAACCCCAAAGTCAATTTACCCGGGGAAGAGGGGCGAGGGACAGGGAAGGGGACGGGGACGGGAGCACGGAAACCACATCGCGTTGTTTGATGTTTCGCCTTGTTTTTGACGGCTTATGTTAATGTTTATGCCACTTGCCGTCACCATTGGGACTCCAGGATTTGTTTGTGATGTTCATAATTATCTAACGAGCCAAGCACAGTGGTCCTGGAGCTGGTTCGTCAGTGTCAAACTGCGTGCTCCGTGAAATGAAGCTTATGAGCAATCAGAAAACTTCGTCAGCCGTGGAATTCTACGGTCTAAGTGCTGGTGTGGTGTGGTGTTGCCCCTTTGGTTACGATTTGCATCGACGATTCGTCGCATATTGGATTTAGCTTGAGTGGCTTTCATGTTTGACAATTGGTCCCTGCCCTTTTTGCTATTCTCGTACCCCGCAGCAACTACCTCCGAGAATTTGGGGGTGGAGGGTCCGCTCCGCGTTGTAGGGATGGTTGCGCGGGATAGAAAAGGGAAAGGCAACCTCGCCGATTCGCACCTCGTTGACCCGTTTGCTCTTTCTCTTTCTTTTTTCTTCAGCCTCGATCTTCTTATATACCCAGGCGTTCAATTCCCTTGCTGAATCCTATCAACTCTCAGCAGCAGAACCTCAAGCCAAGCAGCACACCTTGTAATCAATCACATCAACCTCCCAAAATGGCGCCTCACACTGTCAACTGGGGCATCATGGCCACAGGCTGGATCGCCGAGAGTAAGTTTGCGCCGATAGAACCGAGCTCCTCTACCTCCACGCGATAACCGACCAAATCGTCGTACTAGCCTTCTGCAAGGACCTCCTGACCAACCCGGCCTCGCGCGAGGTGACCGACGTCGCCCACCGCATCGCCGCCGTCTCCTCCTCCCGCGACGCTGAAAAGGCTCGCGCCTTTGTCAAGAAGATTGATGCCCCCGCCGATACGACAGTCTACGGCTCCTACGCCGAGCTCGTCCGCGACCCGGCTGTCGACATTATCTACGTCGCCACCCCGCATTCCCACCACTTCCAAAACGCCATGCTCGCCCTCGACGCCGGCAAGAACGTCCTCTGCGAAAAGGCCCTGACCGTCACCGCCGAGCAGACCCGCATCCTCGTCGAAACGGCCCGCGCCAAGAAGCTCTTCTTTATGGAGGCCGTCTGGACCCGCTACTTCCCGCTCAGTATCAAGATCCGCGAGCTCATCTCCTCGGGCGCCATTGGCAAGGTTTACCGCGCCACCTCGGACCTGTCCTTCAACAGCAATGCCGAAGATGCCTCCGGCAAGCTGTCCTTCCCCGACGCCCACCGCATGGTCAACCCTGAGCTCGCTGGCGGTGCCCTGCTCGACCTGGGGATTTACTCCCTGACCTGGATCTTCCAGACGCTGTACCACCTGCAGCCCGAGGCCGAGGCCGACAAGGAGAGCCCCGAGGTCCTGGCCTCAGTGCAAAAGTATCCCGTCACTGGTGCCGACGAGTCCACCACTATGATCCTCAACTTTCCCAAGCATCAGATGACCGGCATCGCCACCACCTCGCTGCGTGTCGACACAGCACCCGACGGCCACAAGGGCGAGACGGCGCCTGCGATACGCATCCAGGGCTCCAAGGGCGAGATTCAGGTCTCCCATCCGGCGTACCGGCCGACATCGTACAAGGTCGTCAAGAAGGGCGTCGAAGAGGTCGAGGTTGTCGACTGCCCCATCCCCAAGGACAAGGAACGCGACTGGGGCCATGGCATGTTCTGGGAGGCTGATGAGTGTGCGCGTTGCCTGCGCGACGGAAAGACGGAGAGCGCAACATTGCCGCTGTCGGAGTCTCTCGTTATTATGGAGACGATGGACAGCGTCATCAAGCAGGGTGGTATCCAGTACCCCGAGCTCATCACTACCCACAAGTTTGATGCCCAGAGCCCATTGAACCTGGGTAATGCTTAAGACGAAGTTACGTCGGTTGAAAATACGGTGTTGTATAAATCCGGTTGTACGGGTACTTAGATAATAAAGAAACCTTGAGTTGAATTATGAATGCGCGGCCCCGCTTTCGGGAGACCCGGGACCCCGGGACCGCCGAACCGGCCCGGGGTGCCGTAGTTGAAGTCTAATAAAATTAAGCCTTTTTACGATCCGGCACGCCGATGTCTCTCGATTTACCTCTCGAAGCTACGAACACGTAGCGCAAACATGATGACAGCAACGGTTCTTCCCCTGTTGTACCTGCTTTAGTCTCACCCCCGCCACACGCATTCCTTCTTTACCTCCCTGTTCAATCGTAAACCAGGCACCAAAAAGTCAAATGCCACGCGGCTACGAACATATTGCTAGCGGGCATTTAGTTATCATCAGGTATCATCAGGGACCCCGACCTCGATCGTTGTGTTTATCAGACACGAGTGTGATCATCCATCCCTTTTTGTCACACACAATCTCCAATTCCCACGCGTGACCATGGATGATATCTCTGCAAGGCACCAGCCACAATTTGGCACGCCTAGGAAAAACAATAAAACAGGTGCAACGAAGTGAAGCGAACTTGCACAAACGGTCGCTAACAGAAGGTCAGGTAGAATAGCTCAGTACATGCTACAGTAACGCCCCCTCTCCCCTGTTCCCTCTCAACCCTTAAATGTCTTTCCCTGCCGGATCGGAGATTAAAATCCTCAAGGGCACAGGGACACCGAGCGGTACCAACTGAATTTGGCATCACCAACACTTGCTGTGTATGAATAGGGGCGATGGGCTGAAGCCTCACCGAACGCCGCACGGAAAGAGGTTCGCACGTAAGGTATCAAAGAAAGCGTCCTAAAGCAAGCAGAGGCCCGTGGCGCATACTATTGAGCAAACACTGGTGGTTTTCTTCCCAACTTGCTTTCCCGCCCAATCAAGCGCATTTGGATGTTCCTCACAGAATGCGTTAGCTATGGAAACTAGAAATAGCAATTCCTGTCGGACTCGTCCTTCGCAGGCAGTCCGAGCCGAGGGGGAACGGCTCAGAATCCCTGACGACAATCACGCAAGAAATCACTCGAGGATGAGTGCCCATCCGTTCGTACCAAGTCTTTGGAAAATTCCAAACGCGTTTGAAGCCCCGGTCTGGAATGTGATTGTCTTGCCTTTTTCATACGGACACGGCATACCTCCCTAGCAAATCTGTTTGCTCCTCTCTACTGAGGGGCTCAGTATCCAATGTACTCTGTATCCATACACTCCCCTACTCTATCTCACCCTCCTGTTCCTTACTTTGTAATGCTATTACAGGCAGCAAACACCATGGATCGAACATGATCGGTTCGCACGTTATGGATGTAACATAAATCATCAACGAACGACAGGAATTTGGTTTCAGGGACTTTCCCGTTCGTTTCGAAAGTAGTTCGTGAGCAGCGGCTTGCACTCGTCCGGAGCAGACCGATCCGGGACAAGGTCCCCCTCCCCCCGGTTCGAGTCCAGCGCTTAACACACGTGCCGCGCTACAGCCTGCAGGTATCCATGACCGTAATTTTCCTGAGAAAGGAATATGGAGATATATTCCACTGCATACTGGATTCTCGCACAATCGCTTTATCTCGATCTTTTTGGATTTCCTCGACGGAAAGCCGCATAGTGTTAATTAGCAATATGCCCGACTTCCAGCTACCTACCTTAAGGTACTACATGTATGCTGGTCAACCATGGCCAGTCTCATGGGCGTTCATGCAATTGCGGCCTGCAGCCTGAACACGAGCCATCTACGATGACCGTGGCCCACCCACCATCCGCTCTCTGCGGCCCAGTCGGCGGCCGCTGCCGCAATAGTGGTCATCGGGGGAATTGAGGCTACGGTGCCTGCATACGGCAAAGACTAGTGGCGGTAGTCCTTCATCCTCCCGAAATCCTTGTCGGCTCAGTTGCCTCCAGGTATGGCATGTGGTAGAGATAACCGGCCAGCCACGGCCCCGGTTCTGTGTTCCCCCAGCCCGGAGCTACCGGACTCGGTGTACGCCGAGCCGGAGCGGGCCCCCGCCTCCCCCCTTCCCGAAAGACATCCCCCCTCATTGAATCCCGCCCCCACACACCCACGAAAATGAAGAAAAGAAGCAAAAAAATAAAAAGAGCCGCTGCACACCGCCTCACCGGCTCACCGACACTGAGATGAGAAGATCAGTGGAGTGCACACCGGACGGACGCCACACAATAAATGCAAACGCTCAGACAACATTTCCTCTCCCCCCCGCTCATTGTCACAAATCGTCATCTTCCCGTCGGTGGCTCGCAAATTCCCAACGTCCCCTTTCGTTTACCTTTGTTCTGTTGTAGCCACACACCCTTTACGCCCACGTTCCCTAAAGGTACCAAAGCCGCCTCCCAATATCTGCAGGGCACGAGCCTCATCCGACAATCTATCCTTGAATTCCAATCCCAATCCAGTCCTTTCCTGCAGTGGCTGGTGGGACTAATTTCCCAGACACCATACGCGCGCGCCGCCCATCACAAAAAGCCGCAAGCGCAACGGGAACACACAGACAATATCCGTCCAGAACAGAAAGAAAAAAAAGAAGGCTGCGTTGTGTCTTGGCACGCGAACGCGCTTCAGCGGGCGCTATCTTTAACTCGGGACATCCCAAAACCTTAACGGGACCGTAGACCAGGGCCCTGGTTACCGACTTTTCTCCCCATCCCCTCTTCCGAAAGTCTTCTCCCACCTTAGCCCTTAGCAAAACTACCCCTTGCACACTCTCTCTTTCCCCGTCTCGCACTCGCAAGAACACCCCCTGATCGACCGAACCTCCCTCCTCTCTTTCCTCCGTACGGATATAGCAGGACCAAAAGCAAGGGGGTGAGAAGAGCCGTTCTGGCAGGGCTTGATTAAGTTGCAAGGGTCCCGAAGCTCCAGGAAAGGAACTAAGCTGCCCTGTGGTGTGAAGACTGAAAGCAAACGCGCCACACATACTCCTTACACGCACATATTCTCTCTCACACACACCCCTTCCGGCGCCATCAACCATGACCGTCTCATCCGGCCCCCAACCCGGCCCCGACCACCCGGCCGCGCCCGCCGATCCCGGTTCACCGGTCCCTGTCTCCGCCTCAACACCCAGCAACACCGTCACCACCACCAGCGCACCTCAAGAGACCAAAGAGGACCCAACACCAACGACCCCGCCTCCCGCAGAAGACGAAGACAACGACACCGCCGCCGCCTACGAGTCCCGCCACGTCCACACAGTCTACGAGGCCATCGCCCCGCACTTCTCCTCAACCCGCTACAAGCCCTGGCCCCTCGTCGCCTCCTTCCTGCTCTCCCTCCCGCCGGGTTCCGTCGGCCTCGACGCGGGCTGCGGCAACGGCAAGTACATTGGCGTCAACCCCGATCTCTTCATCGTGGCTTCGGACCGGAGCGCAAACCTCGTCTCGCTGGCGAGGAGTTACCAGCCGCCGCACTTTGATGCCGCTGCTGCGCCCAAGAAGAAGAACAAGGGCAGTAACAAGAAGGCCAACACAGACGCCTTGGTCCCAGAGCAACGCCCCGCGCCGCCGGTGGCACAACCACCGCCACCACCACCACCAAAGAACCAGGTCCTCGTAGCAGACTCCCTAGCCCTCCCCTACCGCACCTCCGCCTTTGACTTCGCCATCTCCATCGCCGTAATCCACCACATGTCCACCCGCGAACGCCGCCGCGCCGCCGTAGCAGCCCTTCTCTCCGCCGTGCGGCCCGGCACTGCTACGGAGCAAGGGGGCAAAGTCCTCGTCATGGTCTGGGCCCTGGAGCAAGGCAACAGCCGGCGCGGGTGGGACGCCGGCGCTGCGCAGGATCAGCTCGTGTCGTGGGTGACAAAGGGGAAGAAGGAGAAATCCGAGGGCAAGGGGCAAGAGAAAGAGCAAGAGAAGGAGAAAGCCGCCGCTGAACCCGCCAAGGATGAGACGTTCCAGAGGTATTACCACCTCTACCGCGAGGGTGAGCTCGAGGAGGACGTGGTGGAGGTCGGGGGCAGGGTGCTCGAGAGCGGTTACGAGAGGGATAATTGGTGGGCCATCTTTTGTCGGGACTCATGAGATGGGACGTCTGGATAGTTAGATAACCCAAGGAATACAGAAGGATGAGATGGGAAGACGGTGACACTACTGTCAACAGCAACAATAGAGGCAAGCCAAACAAAACGTGATCTAGGGACCTTTGAAATTCTATCATGACCATAATCCATCTCTTCATCAAGTGACGTGTTTCGTTTACTCTTCGCCGCTTCCACTACACTCGGACTCTCTCTTTCTCCCCACTCTGGTCATCTGCCACTCCCGTCTCTCGCACAACTGTCCGGAACAATACATACAGAAGAAACCAACACACGCTCATAAACATACTATCCCCCCCCCCCTCCTCTTCCCCCGTCCCACCCCTCTTAAAAACACCTTTGCCTACCCAACAACACCAACCCCTCGTGAATTTTTTGTGGGTATGAAATGATGATTCCGATCCGGTGCCCCGTCCGTCCCTCCCTCACCCAACCTGCCGGGTACCGTAAAAACCCAACGGCAAAAAAGTATTGTTTTATTTTTCCCATTCTTCGCGACATCGCCGGCTGAGAAACGACCACCCTTTGAAAGGGCAAGTTTGGAGAGGAGTACGAGGAGGAGAAAAGAAAGAGAAAAAAGTTAAAAAAGTTTGGGGGAAAAAGTAAAATGACACGAAGTAGACGACGTGGCCGTGAGGAGATCCGTTGCCCGACATGAGGGAAGCTTTTTCAAGAGAGATAGCGTCAACCTCGGGTGGAAAACGATGTTATGTGTATGAGAAGTTAGAAAAATGAGACAAAATCTTGCTCCAATCCCGATGCAACATGCTGTTCCCGTGCCGTGTGTCGTGCCCTCCGCACACTTTGGACGAAAAAAACAATCCTCGGAGGTTTCCCATGCTCTCATAAAAAATCAAGAGGGGGGAAGGCGATTCGTGTCGTCCCCCCCTCAGAAAGAATTTTGTTCCCAACTCCAGAGTTCGCCGCGCCATCACCGCTTTAACCCTGCCCTCGCAATCATGCCACACGTCGCCGATCCATCTCCTCCTGGCGGGGGTCCATGTGCCGTCGCCGGCTCGTTTCTCTTGAGCCCATCATCTCTGTGCCCGGACTGGCTCGTCG